AGACCTATATTTTTTTTCTCTCTTTTCTTCACAGGCCTCATACGGACTCCATACACTTTTATGTATGTCTAAGAGATAAAATTATCTCCTATAATATAAGAAACATTAATCTCTCTCTCTCTCACACACACACATATATAACTAAGAAGTCTTACTTCTCATCTCAATCGTTGATTACCGTCTATCTAATGGTTGTAATTTATTGAGTTATATCAATTAATTAATTACTAATCCTAAATAAATTGCAAATGTTAAATGAATAGAAATCAACGATTGAAATGAAGAATAAGATGTCTTAATCTTATATTGGAGCTAAAAGATTCTTCCCATTTTTTATATGTATATGGGTTCAATGTTTCTGCTTTTGCTATAGAAAATTTTTTTCTGCCACACTCACATAAAAGTGAGTGTGTTCCACTAATCTTTTATCTCTCTTCTCTCTACAATGGGATCCACCTATTTTTATGTGAATGTGATGTCAACAGAGAGGTTTTTTTCTGCCGAAAAAAGGAGAAACATTTTTCCACACACACATATATATATATGAGTTCGCTTTTTTTACAGTCAATGTAAATAACTTATCTACATTGAAAACCAAAACGATGCCGTTTTGAGGCGGAAATCAAAGTATTTTTGTAATTATAATTTATTTCAAGGTTATAATAGTCTTTTTCATTATGATTTTTTAATTTTTCAACTCAAAACGACGTCGTTTTGGGAACGAATGTAGATAACTTATCTACATTCAATTTAAAAACATTAAAGCATATATATATATATATACACACACTAAGGGAAAAACACTTCTCATATTGTATGAGAAGTATTTCCTCGTGTTATGACCCTTTTAAAGTGTACAATTTTTTTTTAAAGTGTGGAGTCCACCACTAAAAAACAATTCTCGTGCAATATAAGAAAATCAAAACACATATACTAAATAATTAACGTTTATAATCCTGATAGGTACATATATGAAATAACAGTTATACATACGGGAAAACAATAGAATTAGTTGCAAATATGGTTGCATTTATGTAATTATATCATTTTATGGAACCCTTGGTGGGTACGTAAGGGAGCTAGAAGTTTTCATATGCGATGATGCGAGAATCTAGTAATAGAAGAACCCGTGAATAATGTCTGGCCCGCATGGAGATGAGGTATTCTTTTCCACTCATCATCAATATCTCTCTCTCACTCTCTCTCTCTGCATGCAGAATATTGCAGAACTACACAGTAACAGCAATATATATTGTAAGAGAATTAGATCAAATTAGAAAACCAAGAAGCACTGAAACACTATTATGAGATTGTTATCATAACCTCATATGTGAGCATCAATCACTTAGAAAAGAAACAGAATATATCTATTAACCGATCGATTTGGGAAGATTCATACATGCTCTCATCATCGTCTAAAAACGTCATATTATTTGGAAGCGTGCAATAGTCATAAAGTAATTTTCACTTACTCTTGAATATGTTACATCTATGGCATGCATGTCCATATATGATCGAGTGTGCGCTAATCTTGGAATGCGTGTGGTTTTACTTTTCAAATTCAACTGACCTTTTCCTTCTTTCTTTTTCAAGCAAAATTAATTAAAACTTATGTGTAGTTGACGTGGATTCTAGGGATTGTGTTTGATATATATTCCACATAAAAACGTAAATTTTTCTCTTTTGTTTTATTGACATGCCTTATTAATGCAAAATACTGAATTTTCTACATAAAAGGATAAAAGTTAGGCGCCCACATCTCAAACAAGTATCTTAGTCGTTAATTAGTCAAAATTGAAAGGCCATCCACCAGCCATCATGACTACAACTTATTTAATTAACTAACTTTTCATGCATATCAATTTCCTGCAAAGAATTTTGGGGGAGAACCAATCCAACTCATGACCATTTCTGAAAAGCTGATGTTAAAAATCAAATTAGTTGTTGTAATTCCTCATTCAATTAGGTCATCATCTGAAGATTAATTTTTTATTTTCAGATCATAAGTAGCATTTTGGAGATCAAAAGGCATGAATCTACTACTTTAATAACTTTAGGTGATAATTCAAATCACTTCAGCATATATATAATCCTCATCTTCCTCCTAGCTAGGAGAAACTAACTAATTAAAGAAAAAGATGAATCTAATCCTAATTCTTGCTGATTCCTAATGCTCATTTGAAAAGAACCCACATTGGATTCCAAATTATACACACACATATATATATATATATATGAAACTGTCTGTAGCCGCAAAGATCTAATTTGTGATGGGTCCTATTTTATACACGCCTAAGGTTTATGGAATATGGGTTTGCATGGCTGCTGCTAGGGTAGTATAGCCCACGCATGACCCCTAAAGTAAGTGAATGCCACTGTTTATGCCACAAGGACGAATTTGACCTTTAAACCAATGCAAGTTGTAAACAACAAACCTTTGCTGATTTTAATCGATGAAATGGCTAAAATGGACAATTTGTGCTATCCTTTCGTAGCTTTAGATTTGGGTTTGGAATAAAGAGTAAGAAAAGAGGAAAAGAAAATACCTTTGCAAATTCACCATAGTGGGGTTTGTTTGAGCACTTTCTCTACAAACTAGGATGTAAGAGAATAACACTGAGATAGAGTGACAGAACTCCTCAAGAATATAATGGAAAAACAATTATTTGATATTAAAGTTCCACGAACCAAATAATAAGCTTGAGGAAAGTATATACATACATTATCGAAAGAACGTGCTACTTTGATGAAAAGAATTATTGTATATATCATCAAAAAGATTCAAGACCCTGACAATTATATATATATATAGAGAGAGGGGGTAGAATCATTTGACACCAATGTCAAATTTTAAATTTAACATCTCATCTGATAGCTCTTAAATTAAAAAAGATCAATGGTATCACATGCTTACAAATCAGAGTCGTTGATCTTTTTTTATCTAACGACTCTCAGATAAGGTGTCAAAGGATCCTACCTCATATATATATATATAGGGGCAGACTATATTTACAAACTTTTTTGTTTACAAACTACATTATCTTCTCCCGGAAAAACATAGTGTAATTTGTAAAAAAAATTTGTAAACGGATCCTTCCCCATATATATATATATATATATATAGAATGATCCGTTTACAAATTTTTGCAAATTATACTATGTATTTCTGGGAGTACATAGTGTAGTTTGTAAGAGTTTGTAAATATAATCCTCCCCTATATATATTATATATATATATATATGAAAAAAGTATTTCTACAACCACTTTAAATAATATTATCTACATCTACCCATTTTTAACTAAGTCTGACCAGTAAGACATAGTTATAACAATAAAGCTATTTTTTTTTCTCCTCAGACATTGTTGGCTGATGTGGCACAAAGAGAAAATATAATTTTTATGTCTCACTAGTCAGACTTAGTTAAAAAGAATAACTGTAAATAATATTATCTAAAGTGGTTGTAAAATTATATTTTTTCCTATATGATTTAAAAACCATCATCTATATATATATATATATATATATATATATATATATATATATATATACAAATAAATATATATATATATATATATATATATATATATATATATATATATATAATACACCATGATTTTTGTCATACATTATATACACTGTTTAAATTTTGGAGTTTATATTCATCATGCAACATGATACAATCACTTTTCCTACACTCACAACATTTTGTGGGGTCTGCATTTTTTGAAGCAAAAAAGAAAAAGAAAAATTAAGGCACAGAAAACGAATCTCTATAAGATGATACAATCATTTTTCCTACAACATAACTTTTATAAAACTCTTAAATTTTATGCTATATTAATTGCTATTTATTAATTAATTTCATGTAAAATCATTAAAAAAATAACAGAGTACTGTACTATTATCTTATGCAATTTACGATAATGACCAGAATATATCCACTGTATAAGTTGAATGTCAATCAGTGAATCAATCATGTTAGTTGTGGTGTGGGGTTATCTCTGGCAATTTTCTTTTCACAAGCCTTTCTAGCTTCTCCTTCTTCTATATATTATTTTTAAATTCTCTTAAAAGACATGTTGATCAGCAATGCCTCTCTCTTAAAATCATTCCGAGTCCCTTTTGAGATTTGGGTGTTATTACACATGAAAAAAACAAAAAGAGCTCAAATATGGATTAATTTAAATTTAAAAAGCATCATAAAAGTAAAAGGGAAATTTTGCGAGTCAAGTGAGTTAGGATACTTCCTAGTCTTTGCCCGGTCTATCTTTCTCTCTTTGCAACCTTTTTTCAAGTTCCCTTGCCTTTTTTTTCAGCCATGTTTCTTTTTTGTTTAATTTTATTTTTCAACATGGTTTACAATTTAATTTGACACCACTTCCTCCTTAGTCTACCCCTGTCATCATGACCTTTTCTTCTCTACGCTATTATCTACAAATACCCAGTTATTCAGTTTCTCTTTGCACACTCATCAAATAGACATATATTAATTAAAAAAAAAATACCAGGTATTATGTTGAGGAAATTCAATACCTTATGTTTTTCAATGTTTTTTATTTTTATTGCATGGTGATTCATAATTATACATAGATAGACACACGGACACAAATATACAGAGAGATTATTGGAAAGAGATATGTCTGAAATAGTTGTGCAGAGTTTGCTCAGACAAACAATTAAGATAGCGACTTGAAAAATAATTCACCACCATCATCATCTTTTCACGAGATTAATAAATTTAACCTTTTCTTTTATTTTTTATTTTTTTTTACCAGTTACCATGCACAAAGCCAATTAATGATGCCTCTCTCTGTCTAAAATGTCTCTGTCGCCTGTTCACAATAGAGCAAGGCTCTGCATAATTACTAGTTGTGTCCAAAGCTAGGATTTTGCATTTCTTGGCTCACCAAGGTGCAAAAGTGGCTATAAGACGAACCAAAGTAAATAAATAGATAGCTAGGATTGAAACAAACAAAACAAACAAACAAACCAAGTTAGAATATCGTATCTTGCTTTTCTTCTCTCTTTTTCCTCCAAGTTGGAGTTTTATCTTCAAAGGCAATGTTCCCTGCAGTTATGTCCAATTCCACTTCTTTGTCGACCGAAGAAGCCAGTGTCTCTTGTGGTACAAGAATTCACGACTTGTGTGGACTCAATCATGTTGTCTCAACCATTAATTCTCCACAGCAACCTCAAAAGATCAAGAAAAAGAGAAGCCTCCCTGGAAATCCAGGTAATTTAATTTAATTTAATTACTATTTAGAATAAGCTCTTCAGATTTATGTGACATATCCCTTCAATTGATTAAAATTGATCATTAATTACTTGATATATATATATATATATAGCTACCTAGCTAGCTAGGTTAATTTTCTAATTTTGTCAAACGTTTGTTTCAGACCCAGATGCTGAAGTGATTGCTTTATCCCCCAAGACCCTTCTAGCTACCAATAGGTTTGTGTGTGAGATCTGCAACAAGGGTTTCCAGAGAGATCAGAACCTTCAGCTTCATAGGAGAGGCCATAACCTGCCATGGAAGCTGAAGCAAAGGAACAACAAAGAGGTCAAAAAGAGAGCCTACGTTTGCCCAGAGCCTTCATGTGTTCACCATAACCCTTCAAGGGCTCTTGGGGATCTTACAGGAATTAAGAAACACTACTGCAGAAAACATGGAGAGAAGAAGTGGAAATGTGACAAGTGCTCAAAGATCTATGCTGTTCAGTCAGATTGGAAAGCTCACTCTAAAACCTGTGGTACTAGAGAATATAGATGTGATTGTGGAACCCTTTTTTCCAGGTATTAATTATTTAGCAATTTTAATTGAATGCCCATATCTTCTTTTCTTACTTGATCTAAATCAATCCATTTATTCTCCTTGTTAATTAATTGATTAGTTTTTACTTATTAGAGTCATACAAAGACATGGGTAGTCTCATCTTAATTATATCAAAAGGGCCTCTCTTAATTTTATTTTATTTTTCAGTGGATCTTTGTTCTTACATAAGAATGGTAAGCTCCATCTCACCCTGAAATTTATCTCTGCTTTAAGTGCTTAAATGCCATCGCAGGTTAATTCTATGAAAGTGGACACAGCTAATATTATCCAAGTGTCAATTGTAAGAGAGACTGAAACTTTACCTGTTTCTGAATCCTAAAACTGCCAAATGAATGTGCGGCAACAAAAAAATAAAATAAATAAAAAACAATCCACACATATATTTTGTTTTTATCTACTGTATTATCTGTGACTCAATAGCAATTTTATTGTTTTCATTGAACCTCATGATGCATGCACATGCATGTCAGCATGAAGAGCATCATATACTATATTTACATTATGTCCGAAAATTTTCAATCCACAATTCATAGGGTTTTAGGCTACACAAAAATTCCCAAGTGTGTCAGAGAGTGCTCAATTGTCTTCTAGACTTCTACTCTTTCTCTCTCTATATATATGCACGTATGTGTGTATATGGAGTGGCTGCAGTCTCTAAGAAAAATGATGTAGATCTATTTTTGTCTACTGAAAAAGTAAAAGTATAATTAGTATATAGTTCTAAAATTTGTGATGATTTCTTACTTTTTTATATATTTTATTGAAAACGCCGTTGTCTCTGAACTTTCATCATTGTGAAATCTGTTAAAATCTGCAAAAAAATCTGATATGCTTAGTTGCTTTCTTCTAGCTTCATCAGTGGATACATGGGATTCATTTCAATTGCTTATCTTTGTGTCGTGCATGACCTAGAGTTTCCCAAGACTTCCGCAATCATAACAGCATTACCAGTAATCCTTCAAATTTTTTGAGTCAATATAATATTATTATGCCCAATTATCATTCATTATTTCTTTACCAGTAGATTTTTGGTACAAAGGGGAGTAGTAGGTATTTCCTTACAAAAATTGAAAAAAAAAAAAAGAGATATAAAAAGAAAATTTTAAAAATAAGAGTAATGTAAATGCATTTTTTTTTCATATTTGATAATAGATATGCCAATGGTCGATACATTGATAATACCGAAAATATTTTCTTTCTCCTACTCTCTCTCTCTCATACTTTAAATTTGACCCTGCCACATAATTCGTATGTCCCATTTGGTCTAACCTTTTACACTTCAATTACTGTGGACTACTACACCCTCTCCCATGCATGATTTCCCTCACCTTTTTGCAAACGGGGCACACACTACAAGAACGTAATAAGTCTCCTTTGGTTATCCAAAAACATTGGCATTTCCATGCATGATTCATTTCATCCTCAAATAAAATACTCTTATAAAACTCACTCAATTTCTTGATGTACTAATTAATATAAAAGTTTAAGATGGACACCACACCACCATTCTCCTCCCACATATCAAAACTATTAATATAATTCATGTCTTTCTAAAATAGTTTGGTTAATGCCATATATACATACTAGGAATATATAATATTATTGTCTTTTGTTGTTCACTATAGATAATACAAATTTGTATTTGTTTAATTGGTGTAAAAACAACAGGAAGGATAGCTTCATAACTCATAGAGCATTCTGTGATGCATTGGCTGAAGAAAGTGCAAGAATTTCAGCAAACCAAATAGCCACAAACACAAACCCATTAATCCATTCTCTCTTTCTTCTCCCAAACCAACAACAACATAACTTCCAAAACCAGATCATGGCCAACATCAATACATGGGACCCATCTCAAGAAAACCCTAACCCTAGCAATCTTGTTGCTGTTTCTGCTAGTGCTCTCCACAACAACATCAAATATGAAGCTCAAAACTTTCAGATACCCAACAACCTCTCTTCTCCTCCTCCTCCTCCATTTCTTCGGCACTCCAACAAGAGCATGATAACCTCACCTTTCGGTGACCTCCATGTCCGCATGCAACCCTACTCCAACGCCGCCACGTTACCACACCTCTCAGCCACTGCACTTCTCCAGAAGGCTTCGACCGTTGGTGCCGCCACCATCACTGGCCCTGCTTCTGCTGTTTCCATTGGACAACAACAGCAACATTCTCAGCAGCAGTCACTGAGTCGCGTGACTCAGCTCAGCATGGGCGAGTTTGGAACAGTGACTCACCTCGACTCGGTGGTACCCAATCACTACATGAACATGAGAGGCCTCACCCCCGCCGCCGCCGCCACCACCATCACCACCGCCCGTAACCTCAAAAACGACCATCTCACGAGGGATTTCCTAGGCCTGACCGGGGACGCCGCCAACGGCGGAGGAAATAGCGGCGCGGTTGACGTTAGCATTAACGTTAAGGATATGCTAACATTCACGGGGAGCGTAGAATACCACCACCAACAACAACAGCAACAACTCCAACCTTACGAGCACCATAACAACTCGGTTTTCAAGTCCCAACAAGGTTTTGGATTCCTTGGGACAACCACTGCCCCTGAGTCATGGGGGAATTGTTGAAGTGATTCCAAAACTTTGGGGGTAAAATGGGCAACTCAATTTGCCTTTATCTCTTATGAACTTGTATTTTTGCCCCTTCGAACCACAATGATTTATTCCAGTTTCCTTGATAGAACCATAAATGTGTTTTAATTTTGTGTTGTTGTTTTCTTAAAGTACAATCCTTTTTTTTATTAGTTTCCGTTACACAAATATATAGACATTTGATGATTAATTAGTTGTTATGAACTTAATTTCTATTTGTATAATATATAATTCATCCAGGTGTGTGTTTGCTATATGCATTGATATAAGTAAATAATTTGTTTACAAAATCTCTGTGGCATGAAGAGTATGATTCCATGTGTATTGCACAGATGGAGTTAAGAAGAGCGACGGTGGTGGCCTTTCTTGTCAGTGTGCAAACAAAGAAAATGTCACATGCAAGATTATAATGATTGTTCCTTTTGTTTTTTTATCACTACCTATATATGTCCTATCTTTGTCTTGACAGCTTTCGATCTCGTGCTTCTACCGATATTTGGTTTCTTTGGTATTTTCTTTTCCCTTCCAAATATTGAAATATTTATTATGTGGTAGAATTTTAAGGTTCAAAGTGTTTATTAATTAATTGCTTTATGTATATAAGGAAGATCGTGTCAAGAGTAAAACCTTTCTTTTTTTTTTCTTTTTTTTTTGGTACATGTAAAACCTATCTTTTATCTATGCTTTCAATAGAGTAGAGAGTGAAAAGTGATATTAGATTGATTTGGTTTGTTATAATGCATTTATCAGTGAATCAGGTATTTAATGTTTGTTGAAAAGAAAAGAAGAACTTATAGGTCATGATGCATTTGGAAATAATGCATTTGTCACACCACCCAAATTAATGGTAATGCAGAATCAAGTATTCTTTTTCTTTTTTTTAAAAAAAATCTAAAGAATAAAGGGATCGAATTTGATTCAAACAGTTGAGAATATATACGTTGTCTCATGTTGAACATTCTTGTAAGTATATCTAATATCTATGTGCAACCTTCTTGTTTATCTCTTTTTCACATTTTTATATTAGATTAGTATGAAAAATTTAGGAGTATGATGTGATTTTATGTATTTTTTTATGTTTTAAATCCTCGGAACAAGTCTAAGTCTTTATATGTATATAGCTCTTTTATCATCTTGTTCCTGTTTATTATAAATATCAAAACCTTTTAGGATTACAACTTTTCATCATTTCATGTGAGAGATGGAGCTAAGGGGAACATGTAGGAGCCACGGTCCCTAACTTCGTTACTTTTTAATCACATAATTAGTATATTTCTATCGGCGATTCTTCTAAAAATTTGATGCATGAAAAGTTATTATTAGATCTGATGAAAACAAAAGTGATAAAATGTTGATGGAAACTAAAAAAATAAGATGCTGATACTTTAATCTACAGATTACTTTGGCTTGTTTTGACTCTTCTGTATCAATACTAATTACTAAATGTGTCTTTTGATTGATCAGTAATGAAAATTATTAAAACAAGGCTGCGAAATAAGAAGGAAGATGTTTTTTTTTACAACTTACATGATTGTCTACTTTGAAAGAGAAATGACTGAAAATTTTAATATTAACAGGTTTAAGGTCCTAGCTACAAATTTCGACAGGCCATCACTAATTTTTATATTTCTTTTTGGAAATTAAAAAATCCGTATATATGTAGGCTCAACTTATGTTACCCTACTTTTTATCATGCGCACACCGATATGACAATGGTAAATTATGACAAAAAAGAGTTGAAACGTTATATTAGAATGTGAATGTAGTTAATATCTAACTAATAATTTAACAATTAATGCTGAAAGGTTACGATCATATATAAACGGGAGATTCTCTGTCATTATTTTCATGAAAGCGACGATAGTTAAAATATAGTCATAGCTACATGCAAAATAAACTAGAGATGATGAGAGAAAATAGATTACGGATGTGTATGCTTTTGTATAAATTATGTTGTTAGTTATAGATAAAAAAAAATGACACGATCTTATAAAAATTTAAAATAAATTGTACATAAAAACATTATTAGAAAAAGTGTAGAGTAGAACAACCTCTTATTGTAGAGGCATATTCTACCCAAAAAAATAAAATAAAATAAAATAAAATAAAATTATAAGGGCATATTTTTATTTATTAGTGAATGGGATATTTTTCGAATTTTAAAGATAAAGTATGCGTGTAGGTTATGAATTGAGGTGATCACATGTCGGCAAGGGATCATCCGTCACAGCCATGCAAGTTATGAAATTACTCAAGTGTCCATGCTCCCAACCCACTATCAATGTCCATGCTCCCAACCCACTATCAAAAAACAAAAGAAAAAAGAAGACGATGAGGAATAATACTTTTGAGTTAGAAAATAGAACCAGTCAAACATCCAATTAGAGTTATCAAATTTGAACCGGTCATCGATTCGGTTAGAGTAATATGTTAATGGATTATCGGTTCAATTAATGAATTATTGGTTCAACCATTTAATTAAATATATATAATAAAATATAATAAATATAAAATTAGAATAATTATAGCTAATAAATAGAGTTAATTTAGTGGTAAGTGTTGTAAATTGTAATCCACTTGGTCTTGAACTCTTAATTCAAATCTCATTGGTGGTATTTTTCAAGCATTTCATCCAAAATTTAACAAAATTAGTTTTTTTTTTAAAAAAAATCGGTGCCAGTTTAATACCGGTTGAACTTGGTTCAGAACCGTTTCACCGATTTTATATCAGGTCAAATGAATAATCGATCCAATATTTAAACCGGACAGGTTGGGGGTTCAATTTACGGGTTGGACCGGTGGATAAGGATGTAAATGGACCAACCGGTCTAACAGGGGTCTATGGCTCGATCTATTACATATAGTCAAATAGAACAGATTTAAGCTTTAAAAAAATCTATTTAGAAAGTAAGCCATAGGCCTTCTGTTACATGTTAGGCCTATAAACCTACAGGTCAGTCTATATCATATAATTTATTTTAATTAAAGTAGATAAATTATTATTTAATGATTTTAAATAATAAAATAATATTATTTTAATTATTATTTTTAATTATTGAATGTCTAAAAGGCTTAAACAGGCTAACAGGTGTAAGCCAAGACCTTTGTTTTTTAAATATAAGTCAAATCAGACTTATAATTTGGACCTACACATAATTTGGACCTACACAAGACTAATAGACCAGAGCAAATCTAAAATATTTTAAACAGGTCTAACTTATTTAAGCTAAAGCTCAGTTTGGTTTTTATAACATCCAATAGTTAATAAATATTAAATAATTCTATAAAAAAATATGACTATTTATTTTATTTTAAAAAAAAAAAAGCCTTGGGGGAAGATATCAAGTCTCCTCTATAATTTGTCAAATTAATGCCCATAATCTAAATTTAAATGGAAAAAATCATGGTGGTAGTGGAACCTAATTGTGATTTTTGAACATTATTTGCATAATAATTTCGTTAAAGTCTCTGTCTTGATAGCGAATGATGTTGATTGTCAAGCTTGTGCTTAAGAAGTGACGCCATTTTGGATTTAGCAGCTAAATGCCAAATCCTTCATATTGCTAGCTTTTGTCTCGATATGTGCTATATGCAAGACTTGGCTCCATAAGGGTCAAGTAGGCCATTATTTTTTCATGTTAATTAATTTACCCACAAAAAATTTGTGAATGATATTCAGATCGAAACAGCTCATCTCTGCTCTTTTGTGAATTCCAAATCATAGCCCGTGAGTTTGTACCGTCACCATTACCATCATATCCCACATATTACATACCATAATATTTGTTTATATGGGACCCTTAAATTAACACACCTTCTACCAAACAAAAAATTTCAAATATTGCATGAACCCATTTTTATTTTTGTTCTACAATTTAATTCTACTAAAAAATGAACCAGTGAGATCAAGCTCATAACCTATGATTACGAAAGTTCTGGTATCATTATCCACTTGCTTCAGCTATTAAATGAAGGTTCATAAATAGTTTTATATATAATTTTCTATGAGAATTATATTGACAAATTTTTTTTTTACAAATTACACTATGTTTTACTGATAAAATTTCACTTAAGAGTGTCTTATTAGTAAGACATTGTAATTTGTAAGAGTTTATAAACCAAAATATTTGTAAATATAACCTTCCTCGTAATTTTTACTAAGAATTTATATATGTACGGATGAAAAAGGTTTAAGATATTGCAACCATGCCAAGCTAACAATTCGGAGCAGACAAGTCAAGAAAGAAAGCGTTTCTACATATATATGTATGTGTTCATACATAGCAAAATCTATTTTGCTTACATTCCATTTCTAACGAAGATTGCAAACACCTAAACCAACTAAGGATTAGCAACTTTGGGAATGCTGGGGTTGGACACATTTATTTTTGCCTACAGCAATATTAATAACCAAATTCCAAGAAATTCTTTTCCTCGTCACTTTTTCTTTGGAGGGATTAAGGGAGGAAAATGATAGTTTTGAAGAAATGGAGCTTTTGCTAAAGAGGAGCAAAGGACGCTCCAAACCCTGCAAGCTTGTAAGCGTGAGTGAAAAGGGAAACTAAGCTTATGGTGTATGTATATTTGTGCAGAGTGTCATGGTGGTCCGTTGTAATCAATTAAAAGGAAAAGAGAAAAGAAGAGAAGAGGAAATAAAGGGAAAGATTTAAAAATAAAAATAAATAAAATGTCAACGGTTATGATAAAATGCTAGCTTTGAAAGTTTGAATTAAAATTCTCTGCCTTCTTTATGTGAATCCTTTATCAAATTTTGTGCGCCACCCCTCCCCTGGACCAATACAAAAATCATATAACCTTCGGTTGGCAACTGAATTCACAAATGCAATTCAACATTAGTTAATACATAATCAGATACATTAGTTGTCAACTTTTAACAATGATTTTAAGCGTTAGCGAATTATTGGTTAACATCGGATATAGTTATTAGTTATAGAACTTATTTTAGAAAAATAATATTATCAATTCGTCAATTAATGGATACACGTTAATCAATAACTTGAAGCAGGTAAAAAATGTTATGCCATGTAGAAAGGGAAAGAGTGTAATAAAACCCAAAGAAAAATATTTAATTGTTAGAAATTATCGAGGTTGGCATTAAAGTTGCGGTTCCATGCTCAGCATATAAGTTAACAAAAGGAATGGAGAAAGTTCCTTATAAATAAAGCTCGGTATATTCAGTGCAAGAGATGGAAAAGGAAAAGGAGCATGGGGATTAACTAAAGGAGATGATGGTGTTGGGTTTTATGGTTGTTGGGTGTTATGGTATATCCAAGCTTTTAGAAAGTAGTATATAACACATCCCATTTGCCTTCTTAAAGAGACTGCTACCTCTTTTGATATCCCTCTGCAGAAAAAGGAGACAAACCAAAAGCCTCTTCTATTCCCTCTCCCTTCTTTCTTATTCAACATACTTGCATATGTCATCTTCCACCAGGGAATCTCATCTCAACATGCCTTCCTTTTTTCATCTTTTTCTTCCTTACAGTGCTAATAATTACCTAAACTTTCTTTTCCGTGCTATTCTACCCTTTTACCTTCCGATGCATATCCTCACACAATACCATCCACTCCACAAGTAAGACGATGCTATTTTTACATGATAATATCTTGGACGGTGATTTTCTTAGATAATAGTATATTGGACCTTCGAAAATCATTCTTCATTAAGCATCCAAAATTAAACTTACAACTCAATTATAGTAAATAAAAATAGAACTTTCAGGGCTTTGATTTAAAGCACAATCTTCGGTTTCAAACTGCCAAAAATTTTACAGGTATCTAAAGTTCCAAGATAATGCTACTAAAGTCAACCCGGATTTCAAATACAACATAGTGCACATATTAGTGATAGCTGACGAATCTATGCAATGAGATAAGAAGAATGCTGCAGAGTGCAGATATTAATGACTTTGGACAACAAATATAACTAAAAAGATATAAGTATGCACGGTATCATCAGATTTGCACGCGATGGGGGAGATTCTTCTTCCACTGGTATTACTACCAATGATTTGTCCAACTTGGCTACTAAAGCAGAAAAATATTTTTCGTGTTAGGAATGTACCTCAGTACATCCTTTTCCAAATAAATAAATAACACATTTACAATATCCCTACCTTTATGATTATTTCTTTTCATATTCCTATTTTTTCCCTTACCATTTGGTAAGGAAGTATGTGTACTGAAAATATTCTCCTAAGCAGATCTCTATTCTGATCCTTGTTTCAAATCAAGATTTTCATACTTATAATCGTCCCTCACTCGAGGTTAAACATAAAGAAATTCAGGGAGAAACAACACTTACACTGAACATCATTTTGCTATTGTAAACTGGTTTAGCTTGAAAAATTTTATTTAAGGAAACGAGAATGGTGCGGTCAGAGAATCAACCGAATAGAATTTCAATTAATTAATACAACGTATTAAACAGATAGCGTATATACAGCTGATGTTACCTATACAACACTGAACACTGTTGAAATTCGTGCTAATCATCTACTGAACTGTAAACTGACAAATAAAAGTACAGAGAAAAGCCTAAGTTTCAAATATGCATCAATTTATTCTATTGAGGTGCCCAGTTGGCCAGTTCATCCATAAGCTTTACTTCACTTAGCATTTCATCCGACCCCTGGCTTCAAGCTTTCCAGATTCACTCCCACAAATTTATCCAATACATTCTTAAATGCCTGCACCATTCAGGAAAAGGAAAGGAAATAAATGAAAAGTAGATGAATATTTTCAATTCCATGGGCTTCAAAATTGTGCCCATAATTCATCAAATTATTCAACATCTAATAAAATTAGCTTTGATTAGTTTAATTGACACATTTTACATTTAAACAACTATCTATTTGTCTGAACTAAAAAGGTCTCATAACCCAATTGCGTATTCTCCCTCATGTATGAAATTGAAACTTAAATCTCAATGCACATGCAGGGCAACGAATTGAAATAATGATAAGGATAGAGACAACTGAAAAGAGAAGAGACGTCATCATCAACGTATATTTAGGAAATCTGTCCCTCTCAGGAAAAAAAAAATACAGAAAAATGAAACAAGGCAGTCAAAGTTGTCTAAATCACTCGATACCAAGGGAATCAAAAACATTTTGCTTGGTCAGAAAATCATAATGAGTTTGAAACCCAATTGAAAATGACACGTACACAATACAAAGAATGTTATAAATGTTCTGGTAAGGCATATAAAAATATTAACGGACATGATAAAGCACCAAATGCTATAAACAAAGTTAGAATAACAAGAATATAATATGAGAAGCATATTAAGCTTCAGATAATGCAATTATTGCTAAACAGTTATGGATAGTACAGATGACAGGCATGATTTAGACCTCTTTGCCATGCCCGATTATTTTTCAAAATTAGATAGGCAGCAAACGTAACTGGAATGAGAATAGCCTCCCAGTGTTCTTAGCAGTAGTCTATCCAAGATAAGTCTAGCCCCACATTGCAACAATCAAATAGCTTTACCATATAATGAACTACCAAATAAAACAATAAATATAATGTTTATACACAAGAATGTGTCCGATGTAAAATTATCAAGAGGAAATCACAAAGGGGAGGGTATGGTCAACTATTCCAAGCATGAGGAAAATTTGATCTTAAATCAAATCTAAGCACTGCTAGGCATTCACAATAGTAGCAATGAAAAGAAAAGGGGTGAATTTTACTAAGCGGGGAAAAAAAAAAAAAAGACAAATAATCAACAACTGCTCATCACTTTTTTTCACCCAAGTTAAACTAACTAGTATTACATAAACCACGTGGACAACGAAACAGATGTAATACCCCAGTAAGCTTTCAAAGCCTGTTAGATGGTTCATGGACTCAAAAAGACAATATGGAAATACAAAATTTTGACATGCTTTCTAGCCAAATTCCTATGGAGCAAAAATTCTTCAAAAGGTCTTACAAATATTGAAGCTCACAGAACATGCAACACTCAGTACCCAACTAAGTACAGAAATACATTTTGAAGGAAAAAAACAAACCATACCAGAAGGATAAATACAGAACATTAAATTCCAAAAGATAAAGCTAGAGCACGGCTCAGCAATTACCTGTTGGGTCAATGACTCCTTCCCTTTTAGAATTGAATTCATTGCTGCAGATTGGTCATCAAATGCACCGTAGAAAGCCTCATAGAATCGATTCCTGTAATTACGGAAGTGACCGAAAAAACTGGATGTTATCTTCTTGACAGACAATCATGTGAAACACAAATGAAGATATTACATATCAGTAAGTACCGATCTTCCTCAAGAGTTTGTTGATCCATCTCATCAAATTTTCGAGTAAGGACTTCAGCCCCAACTGGTGAAAGTACATGCAGTACAAGAGCCTCTAAAGTTCTTGGGAAGTTGTGCTGAAAATAGTAAATAGTCCAACATGCTTGAAATTAAAAAAATATAATACAACTTAAAACTATCAAGCATATAGCTACAAACTATGGATGAAAAACAATGAGATTAATATATAATTTGAGTTGCAGAAGTAGCAGTAGCTCCAATATCATTGATAATTGCAAAAACTATGAAAAGCAAAATATATAAAACTGAAAGAAGTGACCATAGTGCCCCTATCCTAATGTGAGGAACAAGAGTCTCCATCTCATCCAACCCAAGCATTACTTCTAAAGAATACCGGAGAAGTGAAGGAAAAGCAGTTCCCTTTCAAATAGGAAAAATATTCTCATGGGAAGAAAATCACATGAAATCATTCCCGATAGAATGAGAAACATAAAACAAATGTAACATTCCACTTGCAAGGAAGGATTTAATTAATATGATCAAGTAGTAAACGCCTTACTTCAATCATAAATTTGTCTAACCATAATTCTAATATCCAAGCCACAGTTCAAATTACCAAGAAGTCCATAAAGAAGACCAAACTTCTTTGAAATTTGCAAGCTTTGTAGGTGAACACAAACTCACCGCCATAGCAAGAAAGACATTTTGGAGAGTTTGTGGTTCCACATCCCAGAGAAATTTAGCAACTGGATCATCTTTCAAGTCAGTAGCCACTATTTTCTCACACTTATCATTCCCTAATAGCTCAGAATCATTTATAGAAGTTGACAGTGATTGTTGATCCAGGTTGGCACTAACACTGTTGTGAACCAAAGACACAAGTTCGTGAAGCACCTGGACTACAGCAGGTTCTAATTCAAGCACTGTGTTCCCCTCTTCTATTCTCTTCACTTTAAAATTCATCCCTTTCAACATCTGACTATAATTTCCATTGGCATGATCTGATAATCAGATTATAAAGATCAGTTAACCAGCCACTGGCAAAAAGATAAGCTAGAAATTTATCTTTCTTGTAAAGAGACAATCATAGAAAATGACTACATCAAAGCCATCTTATAATTAAATTACCTGTTTGTCCATTACTAGGCAGCTTGTATGTACACATCCTAGTTTTCCCCATCCCCAACTTAAGCAGTAGGTGGTCCTGTCCTATATTGAATACATATATCAGAAGCCCATTACAAAAACTTTTAGTTTATGAAGAGAAAGGAGAAAAGCAATAACAACCAGATGATTTAAATCACTAATGAACTTTGTTAGGCTAGAAAAAGACAGATAGCAAACCCCTCCCTTCTCCAAAATCAAAAACAAAATTTCAGAGATAAAATGACAAATGCTCATAAGATTAATGCGTACTCCTTCTCAACTATTACACCTTAACCTTGGCTATGAAAATTTTCTAAAAATCGTAATTCAACAACAAATAACTATCAAGTCATGGACAAATCTGAAAGTTTTATGCCAGCAAGTGATACTCTGTATAGAAAAAGGAAGTTAAAGAATAGCACTTAAAGAAGCAACACATCTGAAGAATTATGAAAAAGGGAATTGTTTATATATATACATATGCAGATTGTTCCCAAGTAAGCTAACAAAAAACTAAAACTAAAATATTAATTTCCACTGTATCCATTCTCCAATTCCCACCACTTAACAAACGAAAAAAAATAAAGAAGGTAGGCTTATTAATATCATGTGCAGTAAATGACATATACAAATTAAGCACATACCATTTCTTTGTCAATCAATCTTCGAATGCATCCATTGGATCAGCGGGCAAATGATATTTTAAAAGAAAATAATAACATTCAAAAGTTAGTTTATCACATAAGCACCTATACAGTGATAAATTTTGAACAGAGAACTACATCATCACAAATACCTTCGCAATATTCTGCGCAAATAATAAGCATCCATGTGTTCCACCATGCAAGATATTATGTTGGATCTCCACCAGAAGTTAATAGCAATGGTCAAATCATCACTATCTACCTGGTGGAACCTATAGCAAAAAACATTAATGAAACTAATGATATAAAGAGAACAAGATGATAGAACAGGACCAGAATTTAAGAGATTTATGGAGAAAGCAAAGGTAAATTTTATTGATAAGGGAAATAGAGTGAATCGACTGTCCAGTATTTTGAGAGCCTCGTCTCTCCCCACAACTAAATTCTAATCTCACCATGCCTCCGTCTCTGCCCTCTGTTTCCTTTTATCCTTTTGCTAACATAGAGAAGTGTCCTCCCAAATCTTGAAATAATATCCCGTAAAATCAATTAACTCTATCTACTTTATTCAACCATATAAATTAATAACAAGCAACCCTATCTACATCAAGTAACTCTGTCTACAAGACTACAATATTTAACCATATCAATTAATAACAACCAACGCTATCTACTATATCTTAAAATATCAATTAATATCATGTAACACCATCAAATATATCTAACAATATAAATTAATGTCAGGTAACTATATCTATTATATCTAACAATATCAATTATCTCTGATTACTATTACTAACTAGGCCTACCCAACTAGAGCATTGGGGCTCACCCTTATTTCTTCTAACCTACTTTCCTAAGTAGGGGATTCCTAACACAAGACTCAAACAAGATTTAAGAAGTTTATTTGTAAAGAACCAATTCAACCCAAAAGCTTAAGTTGTTGGGTGAGGTTATATTAATGGTTTTATATATCTCTAACACGACCCTTCACAAGAGAGTCCATTGGGCTTGAAAGATGGATGATGCATCAGGCCCAGCCTACCTATGCTAAGAAATTCCACAAAGAAAATGTGAGACGGCGAGGATCGAACCCAGGACACCGAGACTCATATACCATGTAAAGAACCAATTCAACCCAAAAGCTTAAGCTGTTAGATGAGATTATATTAATGGTTTTATATATCCATGTAAAGAACAAATTCAACCCAAAAGCTTAAGGTATTGGGTGAGGTAATATTAATGGTTTTATATATCTCTTAACATTATAGTAAAAGAACAAAAGAAATTATAGATTGTCCAATGGACATACAAACTAAGAAGGGAAATATGCTGATAGCATTTTAAACACCAAATATATAGACATCACAAGAAAATATGATCGTGTTCCATGAAGTGATGAATGAAGCATAATGCAATAAACATATATGTTTAAGTAACATAAATTACGTTTATGTTACTTAAACATATATGTTTAAGTAAATGAAGAATCAAGTGATCAACAAAAAAAAATGAAGTGATCTTGGAATCGAAGTGATCTTTTATTCAACAAAAAAAAATCAAGTGATCAACAAAAAAAATGAAGAATTTTTAACTGCATTCTGGATGTTTAAATTTTTCATCCTTCAATAAAGTTTTACACTCTTTACTCTTTTGGCACAATTACCTTTAGCTATGTGTTTTAGTTTTATCCCAAGGAATAAAATGATGGAAATGGGATCTAACAGGATGATGTCATATTAAACAGTGCACTTTTGAATGTATCCATTCCAACCATAAAATGATAAGAATCATGATCTTGGAATCGAAGAAAAGATGATGCAAAGTAAAGATATAGAAGTGAAATGGGTGAGTAACCCATCAGAAATTGTAGGAGTGGAGATCCATGAGGCATGTATGGCTGTATTTTCAAAAAAAAAAAAAAAAGAGAGAGAGAGAGAGCTAAAGGTGGTTACAAGAGCACAAATACTCAAATAGAAAATAGAAAACAAAGCACACCTAGGTTTACAATTTGACAAGCATGAAGCAATGTACATATTAATCACCTTCACTGAAAAACCTAAACAAAAATGTATAAATTCTATCTTAGATGTATTTATGATGTTTATTTTTGACATTTTGTGTCAGCATTGACAGAAAAAAAAAAGACTTAGTGTGAACGATGAAAGCTCCAGGCATACATCTAGCATAGAATGGCCAGAAAACAATCAGACCAGTTAAACTATTGCCACGCAACACCCATGTTTCCCACTCCAAACCAACCACCCCAACCCATTTCCCTAATTCAGAAGAGGATAATCTACCGAAAAACCGAGAAAGGCTTATCACAAAGACATTGTTCAATTTTAGACCTTACCAGCCTTCAGGAATGAAAAGTGCATCGCCTGCCTCAAGAACAACCTTTTGTGCTAACTCCATTGAGCATTCTGCCCTTGGATAAATTGAGTAATCAGGATTTTCTAAAGCAACAGAACTGCCACATGAATTTTACGCGAAAAAAGGAACAAAAAGAACTGTTAGAATATAATAATGTGTTAGTGAGTTATGCGCTATGGACCAGGCTTGTAAGAGTTGTATCAATCTCATACTAGACTAGTACTACACCCTATGCTACATCAATACACAGATAGGGAGCCTAACAATCATTGAGTTAGTGCATCCCATAATACAGTAATTCTCTATCTATCCTCTCAGTGTTTGATTTTTCAGCATACCTGTGATTGGAAGCCTCCCCATATATAGACATTGGGTAGAGTGAGGGACTAGCAGAAGGAGGCCACAAAACAACTGCAAAGAATATGATTGTTAGAGAAGGGCAGAAAGGGGATCGAGGAGTGGGGGAAGAAAAGAATGTAAAGGAGGACTATTTGAAATAAGTAACAGATGCTGGTAAGAATTTTTGCCAGAATCATAACATAATGTTGACAGGGAGGACCAAATAGAGTTCCAAAACTCTAATGGGAGTTATATATTAATTACTGTCACATTACTTTAGGCATTAAATAGATTAAAACATCAGTAAGCCAAAACAAGAATTGAAATTTCCAATATAATGGATAGCATATTCCTGACAACCAGCAACTCCACTACTTCAGAGGGGGGGGGGAAAACTTTCATGCTAGGTGGTAATATGATACATCAAGAAGAGGAAGGCATATACCTTACCTTGTTTGCGGCCAGAAACTACGCAAAGAAGATTGTGGTGTGGATCATAGTGAGTACTTGATCTAGCGTGGGCATTGTTCATCCACAAATTTATAGAAGATAGTTCTTTTGCCACCAAAACTGGAGGCTGCAGAACATGAGAAGCTAAAACTATAATTTTATGAATAAAAGTACCTACTAGAAAGAAAAATTTATTACGCAGAACTATATAGACTACAAAACAAAATAGCAGCGATAAATTCACTAACCGTCTGAATGTCTTCCTTTAGGGTTTCCAATTGAACCCTCTCCTGACCATCATTGTTCATAATTGGCACCTGAAGTACATGTCACCAAAATTCGTTTTAAAACTATGGCACCATCACACTATCAAAAAAGCAAGAAAAAAAAATGTAGAAGCAGGGCCACACCCAAAGAAGACCTTAACAATTTTATTTTTTTATTATTTTCGTCAAAAACAAACCAATTGGATTATCATCTCATAGATGTTGGATTTTGAACCTGTGCTAAATAAATTTGTTCGGGAACACATTCCAAGGCCAAATATGCATGTTTTGTGTCCTGAGTTTGTGTGGCAGGACAAAGATCAAGGTGTTGGTGGTGTTCACTTTGCATTTGCATCCGTTTCTTACAGAAACCAAGGAAGGTAGAAAATGGTAAAGGTACCTGCAAGTAAAGGAAAATAAAGATCAATTTTACAATTACATTATCTCATCCATAAATAAATAAATAAATAAAAGCACAGAGAGTAAATACCCTCTGATGGCTTCCAAGATCACCATAAAATACAGACGCGGATTGAGAGATCATAGCCACCACCATGCAAGAGCCAACCCGTGCCTAGATTTCAAGAATGTAGCATCAAATTAATTAACATATTCAACAGATAGCTATTTCAAATTTCCAATCAATAATATAAGACACAAAGAAATGGAACGATGCAGAGAGAAGAAGCTAAGAAGGAACCTGCAAGTAGTCAAGGCCACCATTCGATGGATTCCAGAGGGAGAAAGCTCTCCAACCCTTGGTGCATCCACACAGAACCTTTTTCGGTTTGAAAATTCACCTTTCAGTTATAACGACACATAGCAGAAAGAACAGAAGAAGGCAAAGAGTGTTGTTTACTTACAGCAGGAACGTTTCTAGACTCAATCAGGGAATCGAAGTCTTTAGCCGTGGGAAGTTCTTCATATCTTCGGATTCGAATGCACTCCTCCATCTATTCAAATTCAAAGACCGACCTTTTAAGTTTGAACTTTGAAGTATCTAGCTAGTAGGGAATTTTCGACCTCTCAGATTGCACAAAATGGGAATGGAACTGGAACTGGAATTATGCTTCTTTAAATGCATAACCCAATATCGAAGCCCAAAGACCCAAACTATAAATTGTATACGGTGGTAAAAAGTATAAATACCAAGTATTTGTTCATATAAAAAAAAAATTAATGTTTCAATTCTTAAGAGTCGAAATTTTTTAGAGGACACAAAATCAGATTAGTGGAGCTTATTAAGAGTTCGAACACCGGTTGATAATTATAAAAAAAAAAATTAATATTTCTCTTACAACAGAAAATAAAATTATCTTTCATAATCTAAAAATGACGTCATTTTGAGATTTAATAAAAAAAATTATCAAGCATATTGGTAAAATTAATGATATGAATTTTTTTTTCTAACATATCCTTATTTTTTTTCTAACTCCCAAAATAACATCATTTTCAGGTTGTAGGAAATAAAAAGGAGAAACATTTTTTCATTAAAAAAATTATTAATACTCTCAATTTCTTATTTCTTTTGACATTGTATTATCTCAACCATTTCTTTTGTTCCAACTTTTTCCATATAACTCGTACATCACTCGTGCATTGCACATAGGGCCAGCAAAACGAGCTCAGCTCGGCGGGCCGACCAGCCTCTCCCGCTAAACGGGACTAGGCGGGCTGAGTTTTACAGCCCACTCTCAAAAGCGAGGTAAGGCGAGCTGTTTTATTTTTTGGCAGGTTGATAGCGAGGCGTGTTAATGTAAAAAGGGTTCGGGCCAGCGGGAAAAAATTTTCAGCTCGTTCTCAAAAGCGGGGCGGGCTTGCTCATTTTTTTGGCTGGTTAATGGTGGGGCGTGGCGGGCTGGGCCGAGCCGCCCACTTTGCCACCTTTAGTTGCATGGAGAAAAAGAGAAATCAGTTTGTTTGTCTCGTAAAAGTTAATGCAAATCGTAAAAGTATATCGCAACATTTTATTTAAATCAACACTATGAGGTACCTAACTCCAGTTTTTATACATGTAAAGTTGGCAAATATTTGAGTTAGTACGTTTAATATTTTAACAAACACTTCACAATTGAAGTTGAATGTGTTAATTCAAAAGATCATTCATTAGCGTAATTGCATAAGTATAAATAATCGTTCATAAAATTAACATATATATATATATATATATATATATATGTAATTAAGCATTTTCCTTGCTATTTTATGTTTTTGATTTCTTGCAACATAATTAAATTGTTGAATTTTTGAGTTGTTACGAGCATATAAAAGAAATATACTCCATCAAATTAAACATATAAAAGAAATAAAATAATCATAATATATATTTTACAGAGTGCAATATGCCATTTTTGAAGATTTGGTATGCTTGATAAGCCAAGCCAAACCTTTTATTTTTGAAAAAAAAGTCAAGTCAAGCTTATAATTTGACTTGTATAAGACTAACAAGCCAAGGCAGAATTGAAATAATTTATACAAGCTTATCTCATTTAGGCTAATGTAACACTTACCATTTACTCATAGAATATGTTACGGTGCTTATTTTCTTAAAATAATTTACACTAATAAGATAATAGAATAGGCTGTTAATTAATTTCTTCATATATTAAGTCAAGTCATACATATCAACTGCGGCCATAAAGATTAATAGTGTCAAAACTACAGTTAGTATCAGTGGCTTGCAGGCCCAAAATCTATCACACTATATAAGGTAGAGGATTTTCATACTCCTACATCAATATCTACATCCAAAAAGATAATAGAAGTATAAATCCTGCAAAAGTGACCTTCCACTACATAGCTAAGTAAACGAGTAGCGGCGTATGTGAGCCTCTGTATGGTCTTCATATATCAAGATAAGCAGTTCTCATCCTGTGCCACAGAGATACACCCAATCCATTGCGTGCTAATCTGGAAATGTTAGATAACAAATAAAATATACATATGAGAAGTATACTCAGTAATCTTGAGAGTTTCCCAACTATAACATTTTCAGCCGTAAAATTATACGAAAATACCCCTTTATTAAAACATGTTAAATGAATATTAGATAAAAGTATGATCAGATAAATAGATCAAAACAAATCTCAATACTAATTTATTAATTATTGAAGCTTTAAAAAAAACACTAATTGTGAGAGACTAATATGTGACCGAGCTCTAGGCCAGAGTAGGGCGTCCCCCTATTTAGTCTACTGACCTCTTTTATGTTGGATCACTGTCACTAAAAATATCATTCTTACATACATATATCAACGTTGTAATCTGATAACCTACATTAAATAATTCAAACATAAATAAGAAATACTATATATATCAACCGAAAACCAAAGCTATTCTATTACCGAATAATATTGAAAACAACTGAGTACAACATGATTTGATTTGGTCACTTTCTTTAGTTTGACCATTGGGTGCTATATTTATTTGAGAATAAAAAAATGTTAATTTTTATATCAATATCCACATGTGTTCAGATCGTTGTTTGAATATATATATATATATATATATATATATATATATATATATATATATATATATGCAGTTTTTTTTTTGACGCAATGTTAAAATTTAATCAGTTCAAATCCCATGAGAAAAGAACCTCAGCTAATTAGTAATAGCAATAATATAATTTCTCTTTTTTGAATACATGCAAAGTAATGGCGTGTCTCAACCGGGCTATACTAGAAATTTCTGGACAGCACAGTACTATCATTTGGGTATCTCACAAATTTAAATAAAACAACTTAAAGATAACCAACATAGATTTTCTTATTTTTCAACGTAAAATAAATGTCATAAAAAAATGGATAATTATAATTGGTTTATCTTCGAAGATAAACCAACAATAAATTATAATTTCAGAATATTCTGAAATTTCCTATTCCTTTTTAATTATCAAAAAAATTAATTAAATCAGAGTACCAACAGTAATATATATTATTTAAGTCGTCTCCAATATCAACAATAACAGAAAAATAATCAAACTGATATTTTTCTAATATGCTAAAAAAAAGATAATGAAACTATATAATGAAGATAAATAAATGAATTGGAACTATATAAAGAAAAATAATAATTAAACCAACATCAAATGGAATGAAATAACTACAGTACAAAAGATAAAGTTGAAAGAATAATAAGAACGTTATTACTGTTACAATGAAGTTCTTATAAACTGAATTGGGTTCATACCCAAAAGTATAAACCGCTCTAGCGAAAATATATTACATGCCTATAACAGTTATTAAATGGTTTCTCATGTTTTGTTTTCGCTTTATTTCAATAAGTAGACAGGTTGCAAGATATTCATATATTGGAGATGAAGAATGAGAATACTACAGCGACGTAAAAAAACCGCAGAAGTAACTAAGAGATAAAGTGCAGTAGCAATCTAAAGAAACTAGATAAACCTAATTGATAGGGAAATGGTGGGAAGGTGAGTTTGGTAGGAAAATATAAAAAATGTTGTTTGGTTAGAAAAAAATTTACCGAGTAAATTATGTAAGATTTATAAAGTCTATATTTGGTTTAAGGTAAAATATAAATGAGAAAATAAGTGACAATTACAAAAATAACCTCTGTTTCTCTCTCATTCTCAGACACCTTCACTTCAGTTCTCACTTTTATTCCCTTCTTCTCACCCTCTCCTTGTCCTCTGCATCAATCTTCACACCATTTTCAAGAGTTTGCCCTTCTCTTGGCTTCGATCCCAAAATCAGATGTACAAAGTGGTGTCAAGTACCATGGCTGTGCATGCTGCGACCAAGCAGCAATCAAATCAAGGTAATGAAACAAGTCAGAACATGAAGGGAAGCAATGAAGTTGGTAATAATGGTAAGCAAGGCCAACAACTGAACCAGCAAAGCTTGAATTTTCACAAGGTAGTTTCGGTAGCTTGAATTTTTCACTCTCTAATTCAGATAGCTATCGACCAAAACCCACATCCAAGATAGCTTTCTCAACAATTCAAATGCCCTGCTTTCTGGACCAAATGGAGAAATCCCATACAAATAGAATAGATAGACATCTTTGCAAAATCTGTCTACCAAAGGAAGTCTTTGAAGATTGCCAAATTCATTTACCTAGCTAAATTGTAGAATCTCTTGAACCAAACAAGACCTAAAGAGATTTTAAAGACACTAAAGATCATCTATTCCAACCGTTTCCCCACTAATTCTCAGAGTGCTTGGACTTAAATTTTTGTTTTCTCCCGGTATTGCTAACACCGCCTTCCCTTTTATATACCCTTAGTAATGATGACTGGATTTAATTTAACCACTACATGAATGACACGTAAAATTGTCACATGCTTCTTTCTATAAAATATCTCTGTTACTGTTTCTGATATTAATCCTGTAATTTTTATTTTATTATTATTTATTTCTTTCTTTTTATTTTATTTATTTTCTTAAAAATCAATTTAACACATTTTGTAAAACATTTGAGTCCGACTATGATTTCATGAATACAACACTCGTACATACTGATGGCACATATGGTCATTTATAGTATTAGACTTTATTTTACTATCGTGTTAACGTCTTCAACCATTTTGCTTAATATGCATTACTCTTTTTTTTTTAATTGTTATTTATTCCAATATTATTATCGTTTAATTATTTAAATATTAAATATTACCTAGTTACTTTATTTATTGTTATTTTTTTATTTTCTTATAGTAAAATATATTTGGGATGCTTAACTTACCGTTAAAGCTTGAATTAGTCTGACTCATTTACACCCCTAATTACACTTACATGACAATGAGATTTTGGTTGTTGAGAAGGGATGACCCTCTCGTGGGTATAGCACTGAAGTAGGACCCAATGTTGAAAATGCCAAGGCTTATAATGGGAACATAATTGCACAACTTATATAATTGGTTTGGACTCCTTTGATTCTTGGGAAATATGTGGACACATACATTTTTGCGCTCTATGATGAGAATTTTAACCTGCCATAGCTCCAGGGTTGGCCCTCGCACTTCCCTAAAATTATAAAAAAAAAAAATTATA